ACACACACACACACACACACACACACACACACACACACACACACTCAGGCACACGCAGACACACACAAATCGCACAGGTACAAAGAACAAAAAAAAACAAGCTCATAAAGGCACAAACAGACACATCTATACACACACACACTCTCACACACATGTGCAGCCCTCCGGTCCTGATCAATACATGACAAGAGTAAATCTCCTCCGGACGTCAGGCAGTCCAATCAAAGGGCTTGGTGTTCTTATAGGGGATCACAAGAGCCAGGGGGAGACAAACAATGATGTGAATCCTCAACAACACCACAATGGCCCCAACAGCTCGGGGTTATGGGAATGGAGGAGACGAGTAACACAAGCATGAACTGTGTTTTTATGCACATCTATATGTGCAAGCGTTTGCATGTGATGCAACTTCTCTTTGCATGCAGGCAGGTCTTCTGCACTACACGAATGTGTATGTGTGTGTAGGCAGTAAATTTACACAAGAGGAAAGGATGAAGGCTTAGCTGCGTAAAAGAAATCACAGTTTGCAAAAATGGGAAGAAAAAGTTAAAAATTCTGTTTTTCTTGCTTGTAAGGACAAAAACGATACAAAATTGCAACTGAACTGTGGCAATAATCTTGCACGAGATTTATGTGTGTGCAAAAATACTGCACCTCTATCAATCTCTGGCAAGCCCTTTCTTCCTTTGACAGACAGGCGTCAGCTGAACAGAACTGATGGGTAGTCTTTATCAGTCTCTGGCAGACACACACATAGACTGACACAAACACTGAAACACACCTCAAGGTGATGGATTAGGTCTAGACAAAGACAATGGTGCCTGTTCCCAGTGGGCATGCAGTATTCTTAGAGTGGTGGCCTGCACTGACGCAATGTTCCAGTTTTATTCATCCATCTTCTGACACTTATGGAGAGCTGGGTGTGGTGATGTCAGGCCAAGTAAGGTAGTGTTAACGGTCTTTCTGGTCTTGGAACTTTGCGAGGCCTTTGTGGGCCAAGTGGGGTCTCCAATTCCAGCAGGGTATTGTGGGCATTCTTCCAGCTGAAAATGCCCAGAATAACTGAACAGAGAGGAGTCCAGTAGAAACCTCAACTATCTCGAGTGGCTTGTTTTATTTTCAATAAGTATGAGTTTTATACCACGATGCTCTGCTAATCAGCTCACCAGTTTTAGTTAGTTCTTGGGTTGAATCCTTGACAGGTGTTCTTCTGAATACAAACAATAAGCATCTTTCCCCACAAGCAAAGCATTACACCAGGGGTAGTCCATGGAGATCCCAGACTCTGCCCTGAAATCTTTGAATCTGGGATCAATAAATATTACTATATAAATAAGTGCTGAAGGATTTTCTTCCTACACCATTAATCTATTGTTAATGTTAACATGTCATCCTCTTATCTGAATGTAATTTTATTTAATTTAATAAGGGTACAGTACTCGGTTTTTGGTAACCATTGTCCATATGTAAATATGTAAAAATTGTGTATGTATCTGTTCTGTGTCTTGTGTACTGTTTGTTTGTATATGTGTCTTTCTCGCTGCTGTTACAGCCAAATTTCCCTTTGTGGGACAATTAAAGGATTATTCTATTCTGTTCTATTAACAGCTAAGTTGTTGTGTTGAAGGTTTTAAAATCCAACTAAATACATAGATTGTCACCAATTTAGCATCTGACCAAGACTTGTGTACTGATGCAATCTCCTCCTCTGTTCCTGAGTTAATACTGAATTGAATAATGGCCAGAAAACGGTTTCTCCAGAAAGCAGGTGACCGTTGACCTTTGAATAATAAATGTCATCAAGTCATGTTTTCATCCTTTCAAACATCTGTGTGAAACTTCATCCTGTTTACTGTAATAATTGCAGACATTTTTCCAGCTGCATACACCTCGACCTTGGACGTCCAACATGTAATCGGTTCATCCTCGATTCCAAGTGAAAGTGAAGAGATATATCGAGCTCACGAGAACGGGCGGGATGGACAGACACTGAGAAAACACAATGCCCCCAGCCATGACTGTTGCCAGTGCAGAAGAAATAAAAGTGTGACTCAATCCACTCGCATACAGTGTTATTCACTGTACGCATGTACAAGGGCAAAAAACTGGAAGGCTTCAGATTTATCTTCATTCTTTTCTTATAATCAAGAGATTTTAATAACCAAATCTTCTCTTGTAATTATGATGCATTTGCTAGTCATATTTAAGCAAAAGGTCCCCATCATATTTTCCTCCTTGTGTGCATCCAGCACACTCATTTGTACGTTATCAACAGTTTATGTTGATATATTGTTCTCTGTTGTTTCTCAGAAGTGCTAATGACTGGCCTAGCATAAAACATTTGTTAGTCTGCAGGTGCTAGAGACTAGAAAAGTGTGTTAAATATCAAATAGGATCCCAGGGTAGACATGCGAAATAGTTATCTTGTCACATGAATAGCCAAGCTCAGTAAGTGGATGACCTGTCCTGTATAGAGATTCTGCCTAACTAATGCAGGGAAATTGTTCAGTCAGTCGTTTTGACATAGACATCGCCCCCTCTGTTCATGTTGTTGCCTAAGTCCTTATTTTTGAGAAAATGTAAGTATTGCGACACAGTTGAGACCCCTTTGCAGGTGCTGTGCATACAGGTGATGATCCTTGAATTGGAATTTATGGCCCAGCAGTAGTGCAATCACTGTCAGCTGGCAGCCCGGGGAAGGCATGTCTGCCTGCAGAAACCATCTGTTGCCAGATGGAAGCTGTGTACAAAACATGTGGTACAATGGGTCTGTGGGCCACTCTTGTTTGTGCTGTCGCTGGTCCGCCAGCCAGCCACAGAGACATCAAAATCATAACAGAGAAGAGCTGAAGTGAAGTCAGGTGTTAAAAACAATGAAAAGTGTCCACTGCAGCCACTTTCTTTTTTTTCACATGGATCCGTGTACCATATCCTCAAAATTAAACTTTTGAAAAATAAAAATGCAACACTAGTTTTCCAATTCAAGTTATAGAAAGAGAACTTGCAAACACACCAAAGCATAGGCTACTGATTTAAGATGAGAAAGATGTTTTGAGTATACAAACTCTGGACTTTTGGGTTTTAATCCCTTATTCTTTTACACAGTACCTTGATAAAAGAATGTAGCTGCTCCAGTTGGGAGTAGGCCTGGCCTAGCTGCCTCTGAACCCTTTCCAAGGCATGGGAGCTCTGCTGGGTCAACCCCTCCATTTGCTCAGTGGCTGTCTGTTCCAGTGCAGCCAAAGCCTGTTCACCAGCTCCCACACGAGCCTGTAGGGCATGCATGCGCTGTTCCTGTGAAGAAAAAGAGCATGCAGAAGTGGTCAGCTGAAAGCAAACAATCTTTTTTTGTTATAGGGGAAAAAAAGCAGAAAGTCCACACTGGTCTATGAGACATTTGTGGAAATTGCTTTCAAGGCCCTGTGTGTAGGATTTTGACATTTATGACTTTGGTGTCTCCTTGTGACTTACTGATTTTCAAGTTGGTATTACCACAACTAAATATATAATAAGACTATCTAATATTACCAGAACTATAAATGCCATCTAAGACAATAAACTCCAACTCTGTTTTTTCACTTTTGAATTTTAATGTTTAATGTGATGTTGTTCACTGTCAGAAATCCAGTGATAATAGGTTGTTAAAGTAAAAACATAAAATATTAACCTTTTTTGATGCTATGTAAGAAAAGGGCTTAAACTTTATAGCTGCATATGATGTACGTGGATAGAAGTGGCATTTTCACAAATTCTAAAACTTTTCTTTTGACTAACAATTGCATAACTTAAAAACATGATCCAATATCATATTCTATACCCTGCTTTTGAAGAGAATTCATCTGTGATTGTTTACAGGGCTGCTTAGGAAAAAAAAGATTATCCGAACTGTACTGTAGTCCAACTTTGCAAATGTTACATAAAACACAATTTTTGTGAAAACTGAGTGCGTGTCAGCTTCCAACCTTTTTTTCCAAGTCCTCTTTCAGTTTTGCACAGGAGGCCTCGTACTGGCTTTTCTCTGTTGTTGCCACATTCAGCCTTCTCTTCAGGGATTCGATTAGGGCCTTTCTGTTGCTGGCCTCCTCTGATAAAGTCTTCACCTGTTTAAAAAAAAAAAAAGAAGCTGAACAAGGACGTAGTGCAACTGCATTTCTCTTTTAAAGGAGATAATCACATCATATATTCACCTAAAGTTCCATTCAAATCACCTTAGCAACCATGTTTTCTGTAACTACACTTAACGGCACTGAAATATTTTCCCGTTAGTCTTCCAGGAGACAAATCTTTGGACTATGGGAAATGCTGAGTATGACAATGCCCATTTTTCCCCTGTCACTCTGCTGAAGAGCCTCAAAATAATGCAATGATGAGCCGCGATGAGCACCTTCTTTTCTAGCTCCTCCACCTGTCCCCGGTAACTTTTCTCCATTTCCTGCAGGAACTTGAGTCGTGTCTTCAGGTCCTCCACCAGCTGCCTTTTCATGTTCACATCTCGCTCTGTGTGGCTCAGCCTAAAAACATACACAAATGAAGGCAAATACCAACATATGGCATAACGCCTAAATGACTCTTCACAGATAGCTACACAGGCACAGCCTCTGCATCGCAGACAAACACAGACACACATACGCACGGAGACAGATACAAAGAACACACACGCAAAGCTGGCAGGCACAGTGTCCCCGTGCAGTACATCAGGCATGACAGCTCATTATGACAACTAAATACACTGGCATGCTGCTTGGGTAAGTGGAGAGGGGGGTGAAATAGGGATGCATATATAATTCTAACTGGCATATATTAGAACAAGTGCTCTGGCAGGGAATGCCGCACTAAGCGTGACAGGGGAGTCCTCTTTGACAAACGGCATTTTGAATCAGCAGCGACACTACTTGAAAGCCTAATCAAGCACTTAAATGTTTATTATTTTCAGCTCAGCGTTGCACCAATCATATAAAAACACATTGGCCGGGGGGAGCTTGGCTTGGGAAAGACGTATTATGAAGGGAATACGCTCTAAGAAATGTTGTTTGTTCGTGTGCTGTGCCGGCAATACTTCCCTAAAGAGAAGTAGCGTGTACGTACTGTAAGCAGTTAGCGTCTTAACTGTAACAAAACACACGCGACTTGTCACTTCCTATTTCAATAACCTGCAATACTGACATGATTAATATTCCCACATTCTGCAGCGACACCCCGGTTTAAATGGTCTCAGTACGTTAGCATGTTTTATTCTGTTTTCATAAGAGGCAAATAAAAGCTATTTTCATGGTTGTCTGCACCTTGGGGAATTGGAACAAATAGAATAAAGATCATAAGGATGCAGTTAATTAAATGGTTTTTGCTGTATTTTTCTATATCAAAGATGTAGTAGATCTCTTAGCTCCCACATGCATCATGGCTTGTGTGTTTTAAATAAACAGATGACGCAATGCAAGAGCAAATGCTTTCGTGTAAGTAAATGTCCCTGCCTCCCTAGGTGGATGAGTGCCTGAGGGCAGACTGGTTAAATAAATGTGAGCTTGTCCTATTGGAGTGACATTAAATTAAATGAGAGAGGAGTCTAGCCTGGGGACTTTGTTGGGGGGGGGCGAGTAGCGCTAGCTGGTTACCCCATGGATTTGGCCATTAATGAGAAAACCCATATTGAACCTTTCAGATGACTGTCTGGTGTTGACTTAAAGAGTGAGAGCAGCAATAAGAGCCCCACCAGCTCCCTCTGCCCCAATGCTAATGGCAATTAGATCGACAACATTTATTTTAGATGTTCTTCTTCTACACCCCAAAAAGAATAGAGGATAAAAAAGAATGAAGGATATATAGAGCTTCTGCTAGAGCGTGTGATCTCTATTTATGAGTGTTAGTGGAAAGAGAGAAAGAGAGCCTCAAACTATATCCCGATCACTCACACGTTTGTTCCCTTTGTTCTGTGCTTGTTGGCAATATTGTTCATCAAACATGCGTGTATTGTAATGATAACAGTCAGTGGTCTGAAGTACGTGTTCGTAAGAGTGAGCGCGAGCGCACATTTCTGTGTATGTTGTTAAGAATAAAGTGCGGGTGGACGTTTCATGTGGCTGATAGACAACAGGGCTAAAGATGAAAGAAGCAGCTTCATAAATAAGGCAGGGCCATAGTGCCGGATATTGACTGAGGACATGCCGGTGTACTTTGAAATTCATTTCTTTTTTTTCTTTTTTTTACCCCCCCCTTCTCTTCTTTTAGACGAAGCAGCCTTGCTCCCTGTGTGTGTGCTGAAATGTATATTTCAGAGACGTCTAGACATGTCTTTCATTCTGAGAAGGGGTCCCTCCATGGAGGCAAATGGAGTGGTAGGCTAGAAGATACGGCAAGTTATGTGTGCGTATGCGTGAGTGAGTGTGTGACAAGAGCTGGAGGAGGCTGTCGCAGAAACGCAGCTGAGGGATGTTTGCTCTGCCTGGCTGTGATCCTCGCTGCTTTGGTCACACACACAAACACATATCCGCTGTGATTGTACACATGCCCTGGATGCATTATTGAGAATGGCAGGCAGAGGACACGGCATACCAGACAAAGAGAACAAGAGGGAGGAAAGCCAAGTTGTTCTTTGTACGTTTTTCTCAGTTCAAATATGGGATCCGTAATGCAGAGTGATGATATGTGCCTTGTAAGTTCAAACCATGACTGTTTCCCTAAGTGAATTGTTTATAGCCATATGCATTATGACTATGTAATGCATGCGGGGCGCTACAGTAGGTGAACCATGCAACTCACTGGGGCTTGTGGCCCACAGGCCAGAGTGATGCTGTGTGGGTTTTAGTGTCATGGGCCAAAATGGTCCCTCCTGCGGCACGCAAACAATCAATACGCTGCTTTGATCAGCATTCCACATCGGCTACCCACGTAAGCAACACCACACCGCATGACACAAAAAACACTCACATGCACACGCGCAAACAACACACACACACGCTCAATATAACATGCATAATTTCACAAATGATTCACAGACACAGGAGCATGTACAGTATAAGGGAAGTGAGGCAGACAACAGAGCTGCCACATGGTGGAATCAAACACTACAGATGAGAGCTGCAGAGGATGTGCAAACATGCAGACAAGGAGAGATTGAGAGACAGACAGACAGAGAGGTCTGCAGGTATAAAAAAAAAAAAAAAAGAAAAGTAGGAAAAATACGAGCTGGACTGCAGACAACAGTAAGAAACACAAAAAGGAGGAAGTAGCACTAATGAAGACAAAAGGTGGGAAACTAACTTATCCTGCAGCTGGCAGAGTTTGTCCTCCTTCTCCTGGAGCTGGCCTCGCAGGGCTTTGTTAGCCGCCACCTGCCTCGTGACCTCCGCACTTGCACTCTGGGGGAAGGGCACACAGTGTGTGTGTGTGTGTTTGTTAATGTGTCTGAATGTGCATGTGACTGGGGGGTAGGGAAGGTTTTCACGACACAGCTGATGACAGGTCAAACACAGCATGCCTCCTCATTATAGTTACAGTGGGAGGGTGGAAGGTGCTAAAAGAGGTTAAGAGGAAAACTGTGTTATTTAAAGTGGATAAGGGGAGTAATTAGTAAAAAATAACAATTTATAGACCTGGAGGGGTGAATTTATTTCAGTCAGGAATGTGAATAAAGAAAAAGACCAACAGACAAGTACAACAAGGGGAAAAAACTGAATACTAACAATAAAAATAAATAAATTGACCTGCTAATGATCAAACATCCTGTAACCTAGAATATTAAACTGTAAACAATAACCTTTTGTGTTTTACTCTTTTCTTTATGAGTAACAAAGATGTAAGGCTCACGGTGACAGGTCGGCTTCTGATTATAAGCATGATGGATATCTGAACCTGCAAGTTCACTTTGGTTTAAAGGGCCCCTGTCTCTTGTGGGAACTGCTCCCAGTAGAAACACTTGACAACGTACTCGCTCAGCGCACGCACCCCCACGGAGCATCCCTCGCCTCTCCCTTTCGCTGTCACCTGACATGACTTTCTCAGGCGTGTGTGACGACAGCGGCAATCTGCGCGGTGACACTGACGAGCAGGCTGCTGAGAGGGTGATAATACTGTGGTACCACTCACACCTCATTCCCTCTGATGTAGGGCATGTCTCTGCTGTTATTCCCCATTTCTCATCTTTCTGACAGGCACTCCGAAATAAGATCAAATGACAGGAAATGCTAATTCACGCTGAAATCAAACGTAATATCAAGTGATGTTAAGTGTAAGCTGAAAGGCACCAGAATTTGTTGTTTTTTTGAGAATCAAGCACAACTTGAAAGTAAAACCTTGACAGAGTTTCTGTTGAGAGTTTTTAAACTCCTCGAGGAGGGCAAGTGCTTCAAACCAGTGAAATGTTAAAGTGACTCAGAAATAGTGATGTAAATATATGTGAAATTCAGTACTGTTAACATGGTAAGTAACAGAATGAAAGACAGAAAATTCCAACTAAAAAGTGCAAAAGAATTAAGAAATTTTCATATTGCCTGATTTACCACAGCACAGTAGAAAGTGGAAGTAGTCTGTTTCTAGATACATTTTTTCAGTCCTTTACCACTGATACTCCCAAAGTTTTCCTTGTTATTCGTGGTATTCTCGAGCACTCAAGCTTCTTAGTGCACAAAATTGGAAGAGAACAACATCTTTAATACCATCCTCCTTATTAGCAGATTTACCTCATAAGGCATGCACAATGAAAAAACACAACCGTGAGGGCAATTCATTAACTCTAGAACTGCTAACCTTAAGTTTGGCTTGAAGTTGTTTGACCTCAGCCTCCAGGGCTTGGAGGGCAGGGTTAGCCAGGGCAGGTATGGTTCTGCACTGGCAGGAGCACTCTACGTTCGCTGGTGCTGTTGGTGGTATTGTAGTTTGCGGGGGGAATTTGATCTGCTTCCACTGCTTCAACTCCATCTCCAAAACCTTTTTCTGCTGCTGCACACCAGCCAGGTCAGAGGTCAGCTTCTGCGGGTTTGACCGACAGACAGAATTGGTTAGCTAGGCTGGTGATGATGCCGCAACTGGAAGCAAAAGTTTGGTGCACTGCTATTAAAAAAAAACAAAGAAACACAGATTTGTGTTATTGGATGGTGAGGGCGAAAAAGTAACAGGCGACTGATATACTGCTACATGAGCTGATAAGCTTTATATCAAACCAAAAGCCTTTTTTTTTCTCCCTTATAATGCAAACCTAATTTACTGCTGTAAGAAGGCAGAGTTCCTCTGACTAACATAGATCTTTATATTAAATCCACTCCTCACAAATATAATAAATGCAAAGACAGAATAAACACAATTTGTTTAAAATACTGTATGTGTTATCCACGGGTGAGCTGCAAGCTCTCCTTTAATATCTTGTCTGCGATAAAACGTCTTTTTTATGCTAATTAGGAGACAAATGATGCTGTTGCCTGGTCAATAGAGCCTAATTCTCACTGTAATTGGCATGCATAATATAGCCATCATGCAGCACACTTTGGAAAAGAGGTAGATCAAGTATTTAGTCAGTAGTTGAGTCTGGATTGATGAAGAATAACGCAACTAACTGAATGCATACAATTTACAGTGACTCTGTGATTCAGAATGCTATGTGAGATTAAAAACTTTAAACCACATGCATGTGCCGGAGAAAAGCAAAAATCCGGTTGTTTCTTATAAGAAAGTATGGACCACAAACCTATTGCTGTGTTTTCGAATCAGTGCTGTCACAATTAGCTGATTTGGTATCATATCAAACATGAATGGTTAATGGCACAAACAGGAGACGTGATACATGAAGATATGCGCTCCACACATAGGGTAAATGTTGGAGCACACACCGAGGCGTGCGCACACACCCAAGTGAAACCACAGAATCCCATGGGTTTGCTCTCTGCTCCGCATACACGGAGGTTATTGATATCTGGTTGCTGGCTGACACCTTTTAATAGAATCCCTCCTGTTTTAGTTTTCCTTCTCTCTGTTGAAGATGCACATGCCACATCCACAGGGAGGGTGGGAGGAGAGCAGGACGAGCACAAAATAAAAGCGGGGCTGTGGCCCCAGTGGCAATAGTGCAGGAATTAAGAGAGGCATTGATGAGGCTTCCAGTAAGACAAGCTTTGATTTCACAGGCCATTTTCAGCCCTGGTGAGAGATGACACTGAAGCAGGCGTGATATACTGGTAGCTCCATTAGGCCAGGAGAGAGGACGCCGGTCTCTCTTTCCTGTGAGCAGTGGTCTCACTGATGCTGTTCCTTTAGTAGCTAAAAGGAATTTTTAAACATGAATAAACCACTGAAACACTAAGATTGTCTTACTGCATCAATTTCTTAATTACGCAATCATTCTTCTGGCCAGACTTCTTGTGCAATAGGTTTTATTAATTATTAATTTAAATAAAGTTTGGAGCTTTGCTTTCTTAGTTCATTAAATTTGTAGAGATAATCCTGTGATAATCCCTGCCCCAAAAACATTAAAGGAGGGAAGGCAACTCCACACTTTGAGTGGGGATGACACAGTGTGCCACAAAGTAAAGCATCTGTGGAATTGATGACAGACTAAGGAAGGCTTATCCAAGCAACAAAATGATTCTGTAGTTGGATGCTATGCATTACTCAAGGATTTCAATAAAAGTTAGACTTGCCTGTAGTAGGATGCACTGTGAGTTTTTAAGTTACGTTATGCCACTTTGAAGGGCGACTTTAAGGTTTTTACACACTACGTCAAATATTTCTTGTAATCTAGCTGACTGCCTGTTTCTCTGGGCACATTATTGCATTATAACCAGATGCATTATCAGCAATTGAATGTAATGTTATTTTCACAGCTGGAAATCATACTGAAAACCTAAAAAAGAAAAGTTTTAACCAAACCACGTGTTCCAGTTAGGCTGAAATATCATATACATTGCATGAATCTGAGTAGTTGTTGAAAGGAAATACAAATACAGTTAAGAATACATTTACATCCCAGAGTTCACGTGCAACCAAACACACAGAAGTGGAGAGGGGAAGCAAGAATGGGAAAAAAACGAGAAGATATGACTTAATAATGGAAGGAGGGAAGGAAAGGAGCAACAAGAGAAGGACAGAATGATCAGGAGACAGAGCAACACAAACAAGTTTCTGTGAAACTGCCATGCTACTTCTCACATGATGGCCCCTGTGGAGGCTGTCCTAAGCCAATTACAAGCAGAGAGTTTTAGTTAGAGAGTTGGCCAGGACCGGTTGGAACAAGCCCAAAGTCCATCACCTCTTGGCCTTTGCAGAGAGGGCAACAAGACCTAGCTTTGGCCAGTCAGTCGGCTCCAACTTTCTCAGGTGGAGTGGCATTAATACTGCAGGAGGAAAGAGGAAACAAACAGGAAGACAACAATTCCCTCTCTGTCCACTCATTCACACAACAGTGTGTGTACATGTGTGCCTTTACTGCTGTGCCTGAGTCTAAGGTCTCGTTGGACTTCAGCAATCAGATGCCTCGGTGGGTGCAGAAGGGCCACTTCCCAGGTAGCAACACTATGAAGGCTGCACTCTGGCCCGTGTGTGCAAGTGCAATATACTCCATCGGTACTATTCCACAGTAAGTGAAAAGTAAATATACGGACATACAGACAAGAACACATACACCTAATCAAGAGTCCAGTGGGCCTTTGCTGGCTGCTGCTGTGTCTGAATCCACCAAAAGAAGTTTCTGCCTGCCAGATTAACGACTCTGTCTGTCAAGGTGTTGCTGTGTGTGTGTCTGTGTGTTTGTGTGTCTGTGTATGTACATAAGTTGATGTGTACAAGGAGCACCTGGCAGGAAAGATACTGTTTAGGGGCCAAAGCTCTTGGTGTTTTATTTACACTCTTTACCAAGTCTAAGAGTTTTTTACCTGGAGGCACGTACTAAATAACTAAAAGGTGTGTGGCACTGGATGTAGTCACCTTGAGTGTATGTGTGTGTGCGTCTGCGAACACGACTGCTCATATTTGGAGAAAAGTAACTGCTGGTGACAAAGATTGTTGTGGAGAACTGGCTCGCTGAAACATTCAGCAGGAGGAGACAATGGCAGAGTCAGAGAGAGAAAGAGCGTGTGAGATTCTCCTCCTCTCTACTGCCCTGTGGTTCTGACCTCCACAGACAAGGGTAGGCCTGTCAGCCACACTTATTAAGCATGATAAGGGCATGCTACTGCTTCACTCTCAGCCCCAAGAAAATACAAAAGAAAGACAAAGATGGGGGAAAAAAAGAGAAACTTCCTAACACTTACAACTGGCTCGTCTCCCTTAACTCGTCTCCCAGCTTTTCCCAAGTTACCTGCGTGAGCTGCTTGCTGCTGCACAGCTTCTCAGTGAGGGAGTTGAGCTGTGCTGTGATCATCTCATTGGCCCTTTGTAGATCTCTGGCTGAAAGCATAGCATCTTTCCTGGCACTTCGCAGTATGTCAACGTGACGCTGTAGAGACTCGATGCGCTGCTGCAGAGAAGAGGAGGAGCAGCGCTGGGTCTTCACAAGCATCCTCTTCCTCCTCTGCCGACTTTTCTCTCCTCTTGTCCCACGGTCCCACGGCTCACGCTGTTTATCGTCTAACAGGAGGAAGTACACGCAGCCGCCTCAGAGTTGACAAGTGCACAGAAAACCTCAAAATCCCAATTTAGAAGCTACTGCTGAGATTTAACAGGCATGCATCTTTGTGTATGCAAAAGTGGAAGCTGTGATGGATTTAACAACCTGAATAATTAACATTTTCCATTTTTAACCAATTCAGATGTGCCGAGTTATGGGGGGGAAAAACGAAGCTTGTTAACTTCTCGGATACTTGTTTCTTATCGACAGCATGTAAATACACTGAGTGTTCTATCTGCTTCAATTAAAAGTTGATTAGATTTCTGTAATCCAGCATGGGTTCACAAAAGGAAAACTTGTGCTACCTCGGGCCAGAACGTCGGGTTGTTTTCTGTGAGATTCTGCCGCTGGTGCTTCTGTGTTTGAGATCGGCGACCACCTGTAGGACTGAAAGAACAGAAAACCCAGTGACAATGAAGAAAAGCAGCCGTTTAATGTAACACAACAGTTGACATGCTGCTCTTCCTAAGATGCAGCTCATAACGACACCATGATCACAGAGTGTGCGCAGCTTAACGCAACGAGACAAATCACCCAGTGCTTTAATAATTCACCTGAGCATGTTCAACCGACTCCAACTTGAACACCTCTCAGCACAGATATTACTTCTGACAGATGCTTGCAAATGCCGCCTTTGTTCAATCACCAACTGAAAGCCCTGATTCACTCCTACGGTGTGACGGGTGTGTGTGAGAGTGTAGTCGTTTGTACGCAAAAGTGTGTACGCATGTGTGTTCGTGACAACTCCCAACTGCACCATCATTTGTAGTGACATCAAAGAAAGGGCCCCCCTACCTCACTCCTTGCTCTCTGCCTACATTCTTTGTATGGGGGACAGGTAGGATTTGATCAGTGCCAGTTTTGATCATGCATGCAGAGAGGAAAGGGTAGATGAACCCTTTGGTTTGTGACATACTACGTTGCGCGGGGCTTGGGCTGTCAAAGCGATGAGCCCAGAAGGAGCTGATGGGCACATTTAGAGGATCAGGACTGGGGAAACTAAAGGGGATCTGAGATAAGGGCCCTGACAGCTCCCAGGTTATATTCACAACAACCATCTCTTCTCTACTTTTTACTTTGCTTCGGTGCTGCTGAAACGAGAAAAAGAGGAGAAGAGAAGAGGCAGCACATCTTTAAGGCCCCTCTCTTTCTCTCTTCGTCTCTCCTCTTGACGGACTTTTCTCTCAAGGGTTTGGATCTGCCATGTAGCACTGTGAAGAGGTTTGATGTGGACAAGTGCAAGGGTCCAGGCCTAATGATTTCGTGGTGTGCATTCACAAAGGCTTCCTCAGTCACAAGACTAGGAAAGTCTTTGTGAATGTAGACATAAAGCGATAGCCAGTTAAAAATGAATAGTACAGCACGGCTCAAACAACACAAAAAGTAGTTACAGAGGCCCTAAGAATTATTTATGCAGACATTAAACTGTATATTAAAGATGGATGGATAGCCACTGAGACGTCACTCCACTGCTTTGCAGGCTACTATTTCAGGTTGGAGTTACAAAGTTATTACATAATGTTAGAACTGCAGGGCTAGTTTTGTAAGTAGGATGCAACAATAATTTAATAAAGAGTGATGATAACTTTGGCTAGCAAAAACAAAACAAAAGAACAAAAAAACAGCTAGCTGATACACAGTTTGTTTTTGTTTTTTTTGTTTTTTTTAGTACAACTAAATGTTGGTGATACCTATCTTTGTTGTCACGGACAGAGAAAATAGACTAAAACTCTTTTTTTGTATCAGGCTGTAAGCCTTTTGTAAAACATCCCTTGAGTGGGCATTTGAAGAATTGCAGTTTTCGATCACTTCTGAATTACCTATAGTGTTACCTACACCGTCTACATATTATTTGATAAGTATTACTTTTTTCCATCGAAAAACATACAAATTTGAAAATGTTGGTTCAAACTCTAATCAGTATTTACAGAGGAGCTCAGGAGAGAGGTACAACAGTGGGTGTCCAAAGACATGTGCAAAACATGGTAGAGGCTCTTTCATGGTTTGTCGTCCTCAGAGCCAGGAAATGCACATTAAACAGCAAACGTCCAAAAAAGAGCTCCTTCAAGAGGCCTGGAGAACTATTCCTGAAGACTACGTAAAGAAATGACAAGCTTGTCTGAGAGAATTATTAAAAATATGCTGAAATTTACACTCATATTTAGGACCAAGGAGACATTGTATACTAAGACCTTCATTAATTTAATTCACTTGTAGGCAGTTTCATTTAAAGGCTGAATATTCACACAAACCCAAGTAAAATGTTAATCTGTACAAAAAAAGCAGTGAGCAGGAAACAGCTGACGCTTACTTCTAACTGTATCTTTATTCCTTTTTTAAGTCCAAAAACAATTAAAAGACAAGGGCAGACCAACCTGTCTATTAGTGTGCTGTCTGTGAGGCACCGTCCCCGAGGGCAGGCTGTTGAGACTGTCCGAGTACTCCTCTGCACTGTCACTGTAGAGAAAGGTGAAGTCTATTACAGACTAGAAGTTGAACCGACAACCCTGGTTCTGAAAGTACCACCCTTGGACAAAAATCCAATTTACCTTTTATGGTTGATTTAGTTGACATCAAGCAAAAATATGTGCATTTCGGCCCCCTCCTTCAAACAGAAAATCAATGTCCCATCCAATTTCTGAGCTGGAAGTGTAAATGTGTGTGTAAATTAAGTGAAAAGCTGCAGTGTCTGGTGCTGTTTGTGAATGCATCAACATGTATGAGAGCGGCTGTGGCCTTCATTAGCCCTCTGTGTGTGACAGACATGTGTGAGAGGCACGGCTGAGCGGAGCCAAGCAAAGTTGCATCTGATGGACGCACGGTAAGGGCTTCCTGAGAGACACACACACACATGCACACAGGTTTATTGACAGTGACCTTTGACGTGAAGGTGGAAGCCAGTGACATTTACGCTGGCGGGTTTATTAAGGTGGGGTCTGGGAGAAGCAGCGGAGGTAAAGACCACAGAGAGAGGATCTAACTGGAACATGACAAGCCTGGGGGCTAGTTAGGGTTAAAACAAGCCTGGAAGGGGCACAGGGACTTTGCTAAAGATTACGAATCACCAACACTAACACCAGGGTTGCGTGCATCGACTTGGTGATGACAGCAAATAGATCCAACTTAAATTTAGTATTATTAATGGAGTTCTTAATTGTGTCTGCAGTCTAACTAGTTGTTCCCTAGTTCCTCTTTAAGACACACCATATATATATTTACAGTACATGGTGCTTCCACTCTATATGTGAGGACATGTCTAAGCTTTTACATGCTGAGTCCAAACCTGTGTGGAGCAAATACAGATAACCTGTTATGTAGAAACATAATGACAGCAGATGCTTACACTGAGGAAATGAGAGCATCCAAGGGGTGTAAGGGGTGGATCTCACCGAGAACTGAGCAGATACAGTATGCATGCCCCTACAGTAGTAACCTGTCAATCACAGGCAGGTAGGCGCAGCCTAAAGCATACTCTGCTGGTCTGTCTTACTCTACATGGGGCTGTATTTTACAAAATGACCATCATGTTAATTTTGGATGTGAACCATAAAAAATTTACTGTGCTCATGAATCCAGAGAGACAATTGGACTTCTTTTTGCAATCAGAGCAGTCGCCTCCTGCTGGCCTTTAGGAATAATGTATTTTCTAAGGCACTTGTACGTTTTTAAGACCCAAGATTAGCTTTGTCTACTCCAAGGATGTCAAATTCATTTTACATTGTGAGCTACATACAGGCTTTGATCTTAAGTAGGCCAAACTAGTGAAATTCCCCTTTCTGTCACAGTAAGCATATTCAACTACACATTTAATCCAGGTAATATTTTAATATAAGAAAAAGAAGTGCAATCTCAACAGTATTAAAATAAATCTGTAAGCACTACTCTTTGGGCTTAAATAAATATGTAGCCCATGCCCAGAATATCCTGTTATTATAAAACAAAGTTTTTGTTAATTCACAGAAAATGCTCTTTTAATAATAATTACTACTGTTCTTTAAAATTGTCTTTAAAATGATTATTTAGCAGGTAGTGAAAGAACAGGGACTATTAATTAATTATTTTGGGGTTGTGTGAATAGCTATGGGTGATTTCTTTGTCAGGATGAAAAGCTGTAAAACGTCTGAAAATACAGTAAAAAAAATGGCAAAATTGATCCTCCTCTTCACATTCTTCAAAACCAGTGGGCCACATTATATGCCGGACCAAATCTGGCCTCCGAGCCTTATGTTTGACATCCCTGATCTACTCTTATGCTACTGTTTTATTTAAAGGAATGTTATCTTATGTTCTCAATCACAGCAAATCCCTCCAGTAGCGTTTTTAAACTCTGGTACCTTGAGAGAAAATTAATGTTTGCCATCTTTGATATTATCCTTATCCATAATTTGTGGCCCAATCATCCGAAATGTACTGTCCTGCAGCCCTGATCAAGAATTTATATAACACGAAAATACATATCCTTTATTCCTTCTAGCATAACTGAATGATTGAGTCTGATACCTGCTTGCTCTTTTTCTTTCCTGCTTAGCAGCAAAACTGCTGATCTGCTTAAATTGGTCAGCTGCCTCTAGCAGTTCAAAACTTGAGAGCAGGTGCCAGAGGCAGTGAGAAAAATAAGGTGGGGGGAAAAAAAACAAAGACTTGTCAGTAGCCTTAACGAGTCTGACATCTTTGTTTGGTGCTATTTAGGCCAAAGCTCCTTAGGCAGAAATACTGTACCTTCCAGGAATGTCAACCAGACATAGACAGCATTTGTGAAGAGGACCCCTAGAAGATACGAGGCACAGAAGGCTTTACAGTAGCAAATCAGTTGACAGGTGCCTTAAATAAGACAACATCTCAGTTTAGGCCCCTTCTTCAAAAATCCACTTAGATCCTCCTCTCAGGTAAAGCGTTTATTAGACTGCTGCTTATTAGCCACATGGAGTGGTATTAGGAAAGCAGGGCATAGCTGCACCCAGTCCCCGTTAAACGGCCTCATGCGGATAGAGCTGGGGTGGATTAGAGTCTGATGAATTAGTCGGTGAAGAGGTAGTGAGTTAGGAGGGCTGAGCTAGAGAGCGTGTAGAGCAAGGCATACCGGGAGAGAAAGAGAAGGGAAATAAATATCAGCGAGTGTTTGAAATCAAATCATTTCAGCCATCACTCAATAGATGTTGGCTCAGTGGCTTTTTTGCATAAAACATACATGAAATAATTACTGTCGATGGTTCTTAATTTAGAGGGTGTTAAACAGCTTGTAGACATCTGGTACTGATCCGAGTAGGGTCATTCAAAATTCATCTAACCAAATTAAGGCGAGGAGCTAAGGAGAGGAGTGTGGGATGGAAAGGAAGCGTATGTGTGTATGTCTATGTGTGTGTGTTGGGAGGGGGCAATGGGGTGGCTGGAGGAAAAAAAGAGCAGCACACACACATACATTTGTGAACCGACATGCCACAAGATAACTAACATAACTAGACGCAAGGTGGGCTTCATATAGGAGTGTGTCTGTGTGTGTGTGTTTGGGAGGAGGGGGTGGACTGGGTCCTTGCAGGGGGATCCTTAGTGCTGTCGATGGGGGGTAGTAAATATGCAAAGAACGAGTAAATTAAATCAAACTGCCAAACTGTCAATTTCGGGGTAGCGTGACTAGTGCATGAAAATGGCATCACTGGAAGGTATCAAGGCTTTGGCGGCCCCTTATCCCTGGGCTTTTCTGGCATCGGTTCAACTTTGTGTAGAGAGGTGGCTAATTTTGCATGCAAATTTCAGTCAATAAGCTCCAAGCGAGGCGTCCCATGATATTTCAAAGGATCTGACAGTAGTTCCCCCCCCCTCTCCTTCTCTCTATCATTCTTGCTCACATTCTTCTTTTGGCTCCTGAATACCAACTAGACAGACAATGAAATTCAATCACCCATTTGCTTACGCTTTGCAAATGCACGTTGTCCCCTCGATGCTGCTGCTGCTGCTGCTGCTGGTAC